TATTTTCAATGGAACCTAATTACACACTGAGCACTGAGGCGCTCGTTGTGCAAAAACGTACAGCTTCTTTTTGGACAAAAATCGTCCATTTTTGGCCCCTTAGGCTTCAATAGGAGCGCCACAAGCAGTGTAGTGCCTAAAAAACACTCTCCTCCTCCTCCTAGTAACCTATTATTATTTCTATTTTATTTATTATTATTATTTATTTTATATTCTATTTCTGCCACCAGCAGACATGACATAGCGGGCATGGATCAAGAGTTCCAACAGCACAAGATACCACAACACCACGCAGAAAATGGAGGAAGCAGATACAAGGATGAAACCAAACATATAGGGGGTCTATTTACAAAGCTAGCCAAAGCTTTGGCGGATCCTTCTGCTATCTTTGGTTGCGGGAACCCTTCGGTTCAGTAGAACCGAAGGGCTGCTGTACGGGCTATACACTATAGCCCGTACAGCTCCCGAAGTTGGCCGAGCGGCTCAGCCAAGACGAAGGCATATGCTTCGGCTCGACTGAGCCGAAGTGACAGCCAAAGCGGGGCAGTGAAGCATACGCCTCGCAAATGACAGCTGGGTGGAGCCAGCCGTGATCTCATGTAATGACAGATCAGTGTCCCGAAATGACCTGGGGACGCTGATCTGTGATTAAACAATAACAATTGGGCGGAGCCGGCCGTGACATCATGGCCAGCGCCGCCTAGTTGTTATTCATTGGCGGGACCTGCTAGAAGACTCTAGTAGTTGCCGGCCAATAGGAAACAGTTGGGCGGAGCTAGCTGTCACTTCTAGCTCCGCACAATTTTTTTCTTTTTAATTATTTTTTTTTATTTTTTTAAATGTATTATTTATTTACATTTTTAAACATTTTTTTCAACTTCTTTTTACTTTTTTTCACTATTTGCAATTCTGCTCGGCGGCATCTGGCTATTAACTCACTGCCGTTCGGCACCTATGTGAATAGGGGCGAACGGCAGTGAGTGAGCTGCCGGAGCTTCAGCTCAGCCGATCCAGATCCAGTCCTTCAGAGCACGTTCGGCTGACCGAAGTGCAGCCGAAGGCAGCCGATGTACGGCTGATTTTAGCCGATGTACGGCTGAAATCGGCTGTACTGAGCCGTAGTGAATAGCCGAACGTTGTTCGGCTCCCTTCACTACAGCTCGGTTATTCACTCGGCTGCCACCAGCAGCTTAGTGAATAACTCTGATAATGTCACAGATAATACGGCTTTCCACTGGCCAATAGACATGTGCGATTCGTTTCGTTACGAATCGAAATTCGTACGATTTTCCTGAAATTCGTAGATTCGTAAGCATACGAAATCCGAATTGCAGTTTCCGAATTTATATCCGAAATACGAAATTCCGTTACCCCAATATTACCCCTGTAAATGAGGTTGAACAACATGACAAGATTTTTTTTGTTAATCCGAAATACGGATCCGCTGCTGCTGAGGGTTGCATTACAAAACACAGGCAGGAAATACGAAATTCCGTTGACGGAATTTCGTTCCGTTACGAACATTCGTTATATTGAAGTTAAAAAGCAATGTACATTTATATTGGAGTTGATGGTAGTTTTTTTTTAAATACGAAATTCGGATACGGAATCCGAAATACGAAATTCGGATACGGATTACGAAATACGAAATAATGTATATTATGAAACGGAACAAATTTTTTGACGGCGCACAAGTCTACTGGCCAAATGAAAAAAAAAAAAAGTGTTGTAAAGTAGTCACTGCTCCAAGCTACCTCCTGTGATGCACTACAATCTCACATTTAGTTTACTAATTTATATTGAGATTGTAGTCCATCACAGGAGTGAGCTTGGAGCAGTGACTACTTTACAACACACACAGGGAACATGGGGAACAAAAGTAGCCACCCTCCAGAAGGAAGAACAGTGTCAGCACCAATTCAGAGATGATTTGAGGATCTACAGCCGAGTGATACACAAATAAGATACATTTTTGTTAATAATTAGGGGACTTGAGTGTATTCTTAAGATTTAACTCCGGGGTTTAGTGTCACTTTAACAATAGTTGAGGACGATACAGGTTTTAGGGCTTGTTCACACTGTCTCCAGACCACATCTGAATGCTGTCATGCGTGTTTTTGATGCATTCTGGTGCTTTTTTTTGGTTCTAATTTGATTTTGCTTGGGTTTTAGGTGCGTTCACATGAATTTTTATGTGTTCAAGACCAGAAAAAAATGCAGCATGGAACAGAATGTAGTGGTGTGAACTAGAATCGTTGTTACCATAGGAATTGCTGTGTTTTTGGTCCAGATAAAAAAAATCTGCCCTGGAGATGGTGTGAACAAGCCTGCCTGCGTTAAAACAACCCTGTCGCTTAAACTTAAAAAAAAAAAAGAAGTACCTGCAAAGCTACACCGCTCCAGGATATAGTAGTGAGGTAAGGGGATTTCTCTGCATCAGAGACTGGTGACTGGTGATGTAGGCAGCAGGCAAGGTAAGCATTCACTTGCTTTATTATAGGTAGCTCTTTTTTTCAACCACATATGTCAGTGGCTTTAAATGACTCCCCATATACCTCCAACTAAGATCAATGGGTAAGGTTAACCCCTTCGTGACTGACGACGTACAGTGTACGTCGCCAGCAAGGGTGTAAGGACATGGTGGGCTATACACTATGAAGTACAATAAAAAGTACAATACATGCTGAAAGACAGAGTGCAGCTGTATTTTCTGCTGCTGTATAGAATGATAAACGCCAAGCAGCTTTATACTAAACAATTGTATAGAAAAGAAACAAAATTTGAAACAAAAAGATGATGGCAGTTTTCTTTATTTCTTGGGTTACATACGTAGTTGGAAAATTACCTTTATATGCCAAGAAAAATTCTTCCAATATGAAAGTAATAGTCATGATTGGCCACTAGGTGGCATGAAAACCGCCTAATACTGTATGCTGGGGACTGGCACCAACTAACTCGCCAAGCAAACACGTCAGATTTAATATCCACTGAGCTCATTATAGGTTAAACAACCTACTCACATTGTTCTACCAGAAAATAGAAATGACAGCTCAGTCGCTCTTTTGTCAGGCAGAATAAATAACTGAAGATAAAAAAGAAAATATTAGTGCAAAAGGCTCTAAGAACATAAAAACAACAGAAGAGCAGACAATAATAAACAGGTTTCCAGATCCATACATCACGCAATTAGCATCTTCATTAGCTGCGTGTTATAAATGCTTATTCAATGAGACAGTCGGGGAAATAATCGGGAATATGTGTTGTTTGGATAGAAACAAATTAGTGCTATTCCCTCTCTCTCCACACACACATATATACATAATTGTAATATTAAACACACACACACACACACACACATATGTATATATATATATATATATATATATAACATAACATCACATTACACATACAGCTATGATTATCAGACAGAGTCAAATAAAATGAGAGTAACTTGAACTAATGCTTTTCATTATTTCATAAATGTCAACATTTAAAGGTCTAAGAAGAAGAAAAAAACTAAAACTAAAAATGCTACATGATGTGAATGGGCACCTAAAAATGTGAGCAATGATGTACATAAAAGTATCCATACTTATACAGAAGATGTTTCACATTTATATCATATTAGGCAAAAAGACACTTGGTAGTTTTCTCATGAGATTACTGGCCAGAAGTCAGTTGAGTGACTATACCACTTCTCCCTTAAAGTGACACTAATCTCAGGAGTTAAATCTTAAGAATACATTCATGTACCTTAACTATTAACAGTAATGTACCTAATGTACCCATGATGGACTACAATCTCATGTTTAGTTTACTAATTTGTATTGAGATTGTAGTTCATCACAGGAGTGAGCTTGGAGCGGTGGCTACTTTACAACACACACAGGGACCATGAGGAACAAAAGTAGCCACCCTCCAGAAGGAAGGACAGTGTCAGCACCAATTCAGAGACGATTTCAGGATCTACAGCCGAGTGATACACAAATAAGGTACATTACTGTTAATAGTTGAGGTACTTGAATGTATTTTTAAGATTTATTTCACATTAAAGTTGAAACTAAATCAATTCTTTAGTTGTTGATGGTAATCTTGTTCAGTTTACTAAACATAATCTGTTAAAAATGATGATTCTGTTTGAAAGCTAAGAGGGCTGCTTTCATCAGAATCAGCCGATCTCCTTAACCAAGAACCCCAATTAATTGTTTGTCTGCTTGCCCTGCTATAAAAGTAAAGTAAGCCATTCTAAACCACTAGGGGCCCGTTCACACATATGGCAGTGATGTGTTTTACTACATCGGATGAATGCAGGTCACCGGTGGGACACAATTGTTTTCTATGTGCCCTGTTCACACAACAAGGTGAGATGGGCAGTGCGGTGTGGTTAAAATGTGAACATGCTGCATTTTTCGCAATGCACTGGATCCACTGCAGATGCAGACCACCACTGTGCAGGGACCTGGATGGATTGTACACAGTGTACACTCCACATAAAGTTTAAAAAAAAAATGTAAACAGAGACAGTGATACAATGCACACTGCTGGATCTGCCACAACTCACTAGCACTTTTAGAGTTAGGGCCGTTCACACTTGCCCATCTGCTAAATCACTGCTTTTTAGCAGACAAGCTAGTGTGAACGGGCCCCATCTCTAAAAGTCCGGCCTTAGAGCAGACGCTAGAACATGCCTAGATAGCTCATTAGCCAGAAAAGCCTCTTCTGTGTGCTTCTTTGAAACGAGTTTCACTTTGTAACCGAGACCTGACTTCCATGGCTGGCATTATTCCAAGACTTGGCACCAAAACAACCCTACCTACTAGATTTTGTTTTGTTTACTTCAGCCTTGTTCTAAGAAGGCTCAGTGCAATAAATGACAGTTCCGGGTTTCCGGTTCATCAACAGTAAAGGTATCACACATAAAAACATAAATCTGTAACATCCTTCTTTTGTTCTGTATGAACTGATATACAACAATGTTTTGTGTTACCATAAATAATGGGCTAGTGGAGGGAATATCTAGGCTGCAAGTCTCCATTTTGCTCTAATTTCTGAAAAAGCATAAGGCTACGTATTCTGGATTCCCGCTTTCCTTCTTTCCACAGGATGATGAGCTGATCGGCTGAGCATGTGACCAAGCCATGATCTTGAAAATGCAGGAACATCTGTAAACGCAAAATATGGACTAGTTATGATAAATGGAGCTTGACAGGTAATCTGTGATGCTGGATAAACAGTGCCAAGCTGCCTATGTTACATAAAAGCATGTGTACAAGCTCTGGGAGATATCTATACGGTGTAAAATCTATTTTTCAGAATGTCTGGCATCACATCTCACCGTATACACTTTTCTTTTGAGAATCTGTTGCAAAGTTTCTTACGTGAAGATCCTGCCAGTAACAGCACTTCAGTAAACTGTTGGGCTGCATATCTGGTCTGCAGGAGGAACGTGCATACCTGATAGACAGCCAAATGGCCAACTGAAGGAGCTCATGGCAGGCTGAGAATCTACATTTCTGCTTTCTAAGGGGGTCAGTCACAAATTCCTGTGTCAGTAATCCCAAATATGCCATTTAGAAGCGGCCGCTGTCACCAGTTCAAGTTAATGATCGCATGACAGTGGCTGCATCTGTAAGCGGTACCCCGTATGTGATTCAATTACTTGCGGTTTGGAATAGATCAATGTGAAGAGTGATCTATTCCTAACCATGTCATTGTATCACATTCATATTTTTTAATTTTCATTTCCACAATCATTGGTGGTCAGAGGCACTTTAAACCCCACTGCCCCCGGCTTAAAATTAAATAAATCCATAATCATTGGGGGCCTGTGGCAGTTTACATTTAACATTCCACTGCTGCTACAAATTATAATTCCAGCCCCGACGGAGGTCTTTTCTTCACATCATATAGAGATCCATTTGGTTATAGTATCGTGTTGAAATCAATCAAATCCTTCTCCCATTTTAAGCCCTGCAGAAGGGGGGAGTGTCTTGGATCCAAAACGCGTTGGATGTTTTTTGTTTGATCGCATTGTGAACAATTAAAGGCACTTTTAGACTCATTCACCTTTTAGTTTGCCACCCTTTTTTTCTGACCATTAGGTCACTTGGGGTTACCCAACAAGAGAGGCCTGTTTTGTTTGGAAGCTGCCATGGGAGTGAGCTTATTTGCAAACTTTCCTGCATCTGGACAATTTGAGTAAGCACAGAAACCCCAATGCCTCTTAAATGTATTACATTGGAGTAAGCTGAATATATACATGCTGCTGAAAAAGTCAATTAATAATAAAGCACACAAAAGATTTCGTTCTATCTTTATTTACACACACACATACACACACACACACACACACACACACATTTCAGACTTGTACATCTGTACATAAACTAAAAACCTTTACCTGTACAGAAGAAGAATGTCCAATCAAATCCCCAATCAAGTTCAAGGAAGCTACAATGCCATCATCATTTGTCTTCTTCACGGTTTGATTGTACTGCTTACTGCCTTTTCCAAAACCCCACATAGTGAAGAAACCTGAAAAAAGCCAATGGATTCAACCTATTAATTACACCAAATAAAAGAAAACATTCCAGGTAGTGAATACAGGAAAGAGTGAGCCGCCATTAAGTACTCAAAACAACTTTTTGGTTATTAAAAATTAACTCTTAAAAGCTGCTTAAAATACAAGTCCATGTCTTTCAAAATGTTCCCCCAAACCCCGCAATACATTCAGGAGTGACTGCTCCCCTACAAAGGTCTGTAATACCTCCTCCAAAGTCTGTGGCCTTCTGCTCTGTCTGTAGCTTGACCAGCAAAAATCTAGTGCCAGGCCGCCCACTCCTGCGTACTAACATCCGACAGACTTAAATAGCTTGTTTTTCCTGCAGTGCAGGCACATCCTATTTAAGTCTATGGGTTGTTAGCTTGCTGGTGAGGGCAGCCCAGCACTAGATCTATACTAGCCAGGCTGCAGACAGGGAGGGAAGCTGCATCCTTGGAATAAGGTAAGTATAGACCTGCAGGGAAGTGACACACCTGAATGTATAGGGGGTTAGGAAGGCAGAATGGGAATTTTCTTTGAAAATCGAGTACTTTAAAACGTAGAGGAATATGATGATCAATGGAGTGTAAATATAGTCTGATTACAAGTGAGCATTCACTGCTGTAATCAGTTCACATAAAATCATGCACTCATCTAACATTTTATAGAAGCTGCAGATGTCACCGCCGTCTCAGAAGAACTGTCATCCTAAAAACACAGGGGAAATGGTCTTTATACAGTCAGTGTAAGTTTTTGCTTAGATGATGAGGCAAGTGTCATGCAAATATCAGGTTGCACTCCACCTTGTACTTGCACATAGGTTGTCTGCATTATAGCAACAGTGGAGACAAAGGAAGAAATATTCTTTGTCACATTGCCCAATAGTGGACAATACAATAGCAATCTCTTTTTATCATGTGCCCATTACACGGAAAGTTACACAATGTTACACTTATAGTCCAGTAAATATTTTATATCTTTTCTTATAAGGATTACTACTTCCACAATATCACTACTGCATCTCTATATGCCTGTGATCACTATAACTGTCAGAAATAACTACTTATTATAATGGTAGTATGCAGTGGCATCACAAGGGGTGTGCGGTGGGTGCGGCCCGCACCCGGGTGACACAATTGGAGGGGTGACACCAAAATGGCTCACAGTCATTTTGATGTCACCCCCCTCTGAAAAGTCGGGCGCTCGGTCATGGACCGAACGCCCCCGACAGTATCAGGAGAGAGGAGGGGACCCGGCGGCTTCCCTTACCCCGCCGTGTGACTGTCCCATCCTCTCTCTGCCGGCGTCCATCACCAAGATGGCCACCGGCAGGTATCAGAATACTGCCGCGCATGATGACGTAATCGCGCACGCGCGTGATGACGTCACTCGCATGCGCAGTGACGTCTCGGCTGGGTGACACTCGGTTACCGCTCTGGGTGTCACCCAGCCTCGGGATGCCCCTGGTAGTATGGCCAGTAATGTATACCATCACTACATACCTGCTGGCACAGACTCTCCATGGAGCTGTGGTTTTAATCTTAACTCCCAAATGCGAACACTGCCGTCTTCTGAACATGAAACCAGCTGCCTGGAAAAAACAATACTATAATAAATACAACTCTTTACTGTATATACAATTTCTAAAATGTAACCATAATGAGTATTCCTCCCAAAGTGCAAATAGAATCTCACAATAGCCCAAGTAGATAATGTGTAGTTAAAGTAATACATTAAATTGGCTAACTCAAGGTGTTAAAGATAGAAGCTTCAGGACCCCTTACATGCCTTCCTAAGGCTTTATACAGTACAAGGGATCTAAGGATTCATGCAAATTCAATAAACTGGGATAGCCAATAAAGTTATCAGGAGGGGTTATGTCCACCTTTTAGACCGTGCTTCAGGTTACACAACAATTTTGAAACACAGTCGTATAAATCATCCCCCAAATCTGAAATATCTACCTTTTACCAATATTTCGGGCTGTTCTTAGGGTGCTGCACTCTGCTGTTATTTGAATTTAATGTAGCTGTGCATATCCCACCTGCAGGGCCGTCCATATAATAAGGAAGCCTGTTTGCAGTGTCCCAGCTGCCCCCTTTCTGACAAGAGCATCCCAGATTGCTAAGAGCCGGCCAGGAAGATGTGTAAGGGCCGCACACATCTCTCCACCCAGCCCACAGCAACCTAAAATGCTCTTGCCAATGTCCTGCTGAACCCCCCTGACCATACCCCCCACACACCTCAGGCAGCCAAAAAGATAGGGATGCCCCTGCCCCTCTGCCATCACAGACTCAGAGTGGGCCGGGGATCACTCCTCCATCATTTATCTGTAGTTCAGCGGCACTTCCTCCAGCCAGGTCCATCTGAAGCTGGAGGTAAACATTATGGGAGCCTGTGCACTGCACTCGTGACGCACTGATTGTGGGTGCAATTCTCTGCAGGCCTCAATGCAAGTGGTAAATGTACATTGATCATAATATAGCTAACACAATACAGTGTTATAAAAGCCATGGATCTAGTGCCTTAATATTCAAATAAATTGGGCACAGAAAAGGCAAATTCACTAACTGCACGCCAGCATAGCTGTACAAAACATACAGGGAAAGGTTACTGTGCAGCACTGTAGGAATTACTATGCACTATGTATTCTGTTGTTTTTAGGTGCTGTGTACAAAAAGCCAGATCCTGTAAAAAAAAAAAAAAGTCTTCCTCTGTTCCCAAGAAATACCGTCTCAGGAAAGCAGAAAAATGTGTCTGCCTGCTTCTGGTTTTCTTTTCAAGAAGGTTAAGTTTAAGCGTTTCCATTAATAAACTGTGGAAAGTCACTACACCTTGGGTTGGGTTGATTGATTCCTGTGTATATAAAGTCTAAGGGTTCATTTCCTATAATCGACTTAATTTGTTGCACTGATTAAATTAAAGCATTCAGAAATATTGCACTGGAACACAGTTAGCTAAATATAGGTCAGCAAAACTGCTGTCAGTTGTTTAAAATTATATTTGTGTCTTTCAAAAATGAAAAAAGTGGAATGCCATGTAATAAATCAGACGGGATACCTGCTGGGAATGTTCGCCATGTGCTGTATACTGGAGTCATGAGCATTGCTCTGAAAAGCAATCACTCTCTTTGTGTGAAGGTTGTAAACGTAGATTCCTCTTCCCACCGCCACATAGACATACTGCAGGGAAACAACACAAGTTACTGTAATCATATTAAATTAAAGGTGAGAATAAAGAAAAACAAGAATGTTAAATAAAAAACTTCTTATGGTCCAAAAATGTACACGCACGTCACCAGAACTGAAATAGCAACATAAAACAGACCTCTCCATCAGACGACAGGTGTTGGATGGAAACCTCCTCTTGTGTCGGCAGCAGTCTACTCTCTGGAGGAGAGTCTTGCTGTGCATACATGTGTGGGAAGTTTCTTTCACAACCTTGGATAGAGAAGTCTAAAGCATCCCACACAATCAACTCCCCAGCATCACAGCTGCTCACAAATGTCATCTCTGAGGGTAGAAAACCAAAGCTGCATCAGTTGCCAAACAAAGTAATTCAATTCAATTATAAAACAAACTATATACTGCATTCAGAAAGTATTTGCTTGTATAT